CATTTTCATTGATTTTTGAGACAAAGTCTCACTCTGTCTCCCAGGCTGGAGTGCAGTAGCATGATTTCAGCTCACTGAAACCTCCACCTTCCAGATTCAAGTGATTCTCCTGCCTCAGCCTCTCAAGTAGCTGGGATTACAGGTGTGCACCATCACACATGGCTAATTTTTGTTTTGTAGTAGAGACAGAGTTTTGCCATGTTGGCCAGGCTGGTTTTGAACTCCGGACTACAAGTGATCTGCCTGCCTTGGCCTTGCAAAGTGTTGGTATCACAGGCATGAGCCACTGCACCCAGTTCAGCTCATTACTTTAAATCACTTCTCAGACAGTGTGTAATTTCTGCTTCTTTGAGGCCAGTTACTGGAGAAATATGGTTGCCTTGTGGTACCATGCTTCTTTGCTTTTTCATGTTTCTTGTTCTGTGCATTGATGTCAGGACATTTAGTGATAGTGATGTAGTTACCTTTTTCAAACTCTAGTAGGGGAAGCCACCTCTTCCCCTACTTTCAGTTGCAGATGAGTCTGAGGCTGCCAGTTGGGCAGGGTGGCTCTGATTACATGTAGGCACAGTGGGGTGATCTTTGTGCAGCTTTGTTAGTTGTGATCAATGTTAGCAATGAATGTAGGTGCCTCAGTGGTCTAGTTTTTAGGAATTTGTGGAAGTGATGGTAGGTGCATAGGTTGCTAGGGCAAAGGCTTAAAAATTCTTCTGTTCTTGTCCTTCCTACAGTGAGGAGTCTTAGGTGAAGAGATCTATTTTTGTGTTTGGTCTAATATGGTCCACAGGCAACTATAGAAGCACTGGGAGCCAGGGCATAGGTGATCAGAGTAGCTGTGGATATAGGTCATAGGCTCAGTGTCTTGTGAGACTACTGTAGCACCTTGGACTTCAGGCACACGTTCACTTTCCAAGGCACAAGTGAATGCAGTTTCCCCAGTAAGCCAGGGTCTGTTCCTCTGAGACATATCTCAGTGGCTTAGGCCCAGAGTGCTGAAATATAGCTGAGGTTGTGACCCTGGTGGACATGGTACACCACTGGCATAGCTTGGTAGAAAAAGGAGTTCTCTAGAAGCTTGGGTCCAGGGAGTAGAGAACAGCTGTAATTTGGGACCAGAAGTCACCAAAGTCAGCAAAAGTGTAGACTCTTGATGATGAGGTGCTATGTAGTGGTGACTATGGACCCTGGAATGGTGGGACATACTACTATCCTAGGCTCTATAAGGCCAGGTACAGCAGCAGCAATGATGCAGAAATGGCAAGACACTGCTGTAGCTTGGACCTTGGTGGGAGGTGTCCAGCACAACAATGACTTCAGTCCCCTGGAGTGTGTCTCAGCAGTTCAGACTGCAGGGATATAGTCCAATTTTGGGTAGGCAGGACATGTGGCTGTTCAGTCTGGAGGGCTGGGTGGCACAACTCAAGCCAGGCACTGATTCTTTGGGATATGAGGTGCCATATCTGTTTGGCCCCAGAAATCATGGCTATATGGGTCAGTGTGCCTCTGGATCCCTTTGGGGTAGAGTACTGTATCAACTATGGCACTGGGGTATGCAATTGTTCTTATGCACTAAAGGCTCTGAGCCTCTATGGGTAGTGTGCTATCTTATCTGTGGTGTCAGGGCTGGGGAGTTGACTGCTCTAGTGTGCTGGAAGTTTGTGATACCCTGATGGTGGTGGTAGGGTATGCTGCCTCATCTGTGGCATTGAGGGGCATGCCTGCTCTGGTGTGTAGAAGATCTGAGATCCCAGGTATTGAAGTGCCATTTCAGCTCAGCCCTGAGAGGAGGGTTCACAGTAACTGGAATGTGGGTAATGGAGTAGTTCCATGGAACTTGCCCCTAGGGGTAGGACATAATAGCAGGTTGGCTGGGGGATGGTATGCTATTGGGTGGGTTTGTTGCAGTGGTAACAAAACATCAGGGATGGGGGGTGCAATGCATACTCACCCTTGAAGCAGGATGCACTTGTTCCCAAGATTGTACAGGGCAGTAGCAGCATGAGCCATGAGGCAAGGGGTAGGGGCTGAGAAGAGGAGGGAGGGGCACAGCATCAGCTCTTTCTCTAGGGAGAACTCAGTATGTAAACTCTGGGGAGCTCCCTCAGCTGGCCTCAAACTCTGTAAGGACTGCAGAATTCTCTAGTGCAAAGGCTGTGTGTATCGGTGGTACTGATGAAAGCTGCTGGGGTCTTCTGGCTTACCTTTTCCCTGCGGGAAGGGGTCTCTTCTGGTTTTCAGCTGATCCCAACTAGGGAAATGGGATGACAGATGCAAGGTGTTTCCTCTCCTTTCCTATGTGACCATCCTGTGTTTTAGTAGTCTACAGGATTTCTGCTGCTGTTCTCCAGAGCTTTCCTTTAGTTATTTTGATCAAAATGTAGTTGCTTATTCATTATTTTCAGTGTTTTTTTTTTTTTTTTTTTTTTTTTTTTTTTTTTTTTTTTTTTTTTTTTTTGTGGGAAGTGGGAATAGAACTAGAAGCTGTTTAGTTGACCATCTTACTGATGTCACCAACATGGATCTATTTTTGTTTTATAATGTTAAAATATGATATCTATGTATAACTGGTCATAATTTACATTTCATATAGAGTCCTTACTTGTTTTTTAATCTCCCCAAAAAGGTTCTATATAAATCATCATCAATTTCTAGATGCTTAGTAATAGTTTTTGAAGTAGTGTAAAAATGTAACTTTTCAAGGAAATATAAAACTATCTGCATAATGTTAAAGAAAATATCAAATGTGAGAACTGTATGTGATATATTCAAAGACTGGATACATATTTGCTTATATTTATAGAATGAAAAAAGAACTAGTAATTCCATGGACTACAATTTTATGCCAGTTTCTACCTAAAACAGAAATATGAATTATTTTAAATAATATTCCTGTCCTTAATCCCTTGGATAAATATTTCACAAGTTTGGCATTTTAATATCTTTGATGACAAATACATAAGACTAAAGAATTCTTTAATCTGAAAAAAAAACACAAATTATTAGAGTTGTCAACAGAAGTATAGAGAATACCCTGTTAATAAATGCGTTAATTTATCTTTTGAGGAATGGTGAATCTGGATTTAGTCTAGCTGCAATACATATTTGAAGTTTGAATGTAAAAAAGTAAAACTCAATTTTTTAGTTGCTTATTGATCCAGTCTCATTTCTTTCTAATCCACCATTCAAATACATTGTTTGTCTATTATTTGGCTTAGGAAAATTAGCTTACATAACTCAAAAAATTTAAATAGTGCAAATGAGCTTTTTATTCCACTAAAATCTATTAAATGTATAGCTGGCATTTTGTAAATAAAATTTCTTTAAACAACATGAAGGATGCTTCAGTCCCTCTTTTAAAAGAACGGACAATTTGGCAGCTTCCCAATTCATCATCTCTGACTTCTCCTTGATAGTCAATCTACGAAGCAGAGGAAAAAAAAAATCTCTTCCCAGAACTGCATCAGTCTTCTCTGACTGGTGCACTGTTTTTGTTTTGTTTTGCTGTTTTTCCTCTGCAGGCGTCCCCAAACTACGGCCCGCGGGCCACATGCGGACCCCTGAGGCCATTTATCCGGCCCCCACCACACTTCAGGAAGGGGCACCTCTTTCGTTGGTGGTCAGTGAGAGGAGCACAGTATGTGGCGGCCCTCCAACGGTCTGAGGGACAGTGAACTGGCCCCCTGTGTAAAAAGTCTGGGGACGCCTGCTCTAGTGCCTGCGAATTTTTAGTCTATGAAGATGGAAACAATAAAAAAAATGGTGATTAGTGAAGTAGAGGGAATTAATAATATAAAGTGACTTCTTTAATAATGAGATGTATGATATAGAAGATAATTACTAAACGTTAAAAGCATAATAATTTGCTTTAAATTCCTTGAAAACAAGAGGTAGTAGTTAGACTAAGGTGATTATAGAATATCTGTTGTGAAAATAAAGCACTCATAATTTCTAGTGTCATTCTTTTTTAAATTTTTCTAATTTTTAAAAAGTTACGTGAATCTATAGGTTTATTTCACATTATTTATTTATTTATTTATTTATTTATTTTAATCTTTATTTTTAGTCTCAGGGATACATGTGCAGGTTTGCTATATAGGTAAACTCGTGTCATGTGTCATGGGGGTTTGTCGTACCAATTATTTTATCACCCAGGTATTAAGCCTAGTACCCAATAGTTATTTTTAATGCTCCTCTCCCTTCTCCCACCCTCCACCCTCAGGTAGACACCAGTTTCTATTGTTTTCTTCTTCATGTTCATGAATTCTCATCATTTCGCTACCACTTGTAAGTCAAAACATGCAGAATTTTTTTTTTTTCGGTTTTTGTGTTAGTTTTCACTTAGTTTATATATATCAAAGATGACCAGCATTGAGAGCTTATAAGATTTGTCATTTGTATAAGTACAAGGTAGAATGTGGAAAGATAAAAATCTTTCAGATAACTATGATTTCAAGACAGCAAGATTCAACATTGCCATCTTCCTTTGCCCAATGATCTTCAATTCCTCTTGCTCCATTATCCAAAACACATTCAGTCTAGAACTGAATGTGGCAAAGGGTGGCAAATATGAGCCCTTTTTGGAATGATAACATTTTAGATTGTTAATTGTGGTTTCTAACATCATCTTTTTGAATACTAGTGCCATATTTTGTTAGAAAGTAAGAGAAGACACTTTGTACTTCTGGGACTGGGCATACTGACAATAGAAACATCAGGAACAGTGGGTTCAGGGGCAGAGGGCAGAGGGCAATCTCACAGGCTTCATACATTCACTAGAGCTGGCTCCATTCACCTTAGTCACAGAGCTTTCAGACATGTCTTTATATGTTCTCCTGGTCTGCATTTTTTGAAACTCAAGATTTTCTAAACATTTTATTTGTGATGTAATGTTTTCCCCTGTACTATTTCTCCCTGCCCTCAAACCGATTGGTCTAATTTGTTTTATTCTTGAGATTTTACCCATGAAAATACTCAGAGAGAGAGAGAAAAAAAGAACTTACCTGATATTTCCATTATTTTAATTGTACTCTGAGTCTCAGCTTTAGAAGGAAAAAAAAGAAAAAAATCAATACAATTAAATGTTGACTATCAGATATGTTCTCACAATTGTTTCAGGTGGTAAATGAGTCTAAATTTTAACTCATTTCTGATTCACTGTTTTCAAATCATAAAATCATGATTCTTCCTGATTACAATAAGGTTTTTTTTGTTTTTTTTTTTTTTTTTTTTGAGATGGTGTCTCGCTCTGTCACCCAGGCTGGAGTGCAGTGGCGAGATCTCGGCTCACTGCAGCTTCTGCCTCCTGGGTTCAAGCAGTTCTCCTGCCTCAACCTCCCGAGTAACTGGTATTGCAGGTGTGCGCCCCCATGCCAAGCTAATTTTTGTATTTTTAGTAGAGATGGGATTTCACCATGTTGGCCAGGCTGGTGTCGATCTCTTGAGCTTGTGATCTGCCCACCTCAGCCTCCCAAAGCTCTGGGATAACAGGCATGAGCCACCATGCTTGGCCCAGAGAAGGTTTTTAAGAAAAAATATTTCAACCAACTTTTTCTTAAAGGGCTAAATATTTTTTAGGTTGTGGGCCATAAATATCTATCATAACTATTCAACTCTGCCTTTTGGTGTGAATGCAGCCATACGCTACCTAAAGAATAGGAATAACTGTGTTCCAATAAAACTTTATTTTGAAAAAGTCAGAGTATTAGATTTTGCCTGTGGGCCATAGTTTGCTGAGTCTTGCTTTATAGCATCTGGTACAACCTCACACCTTGAATATCCTGCGATAACATAGAAAACAAAAATCCTTCAGTAAATGCTTAATGAATGGGGCTGCCATGTGTTCTAATCCTACTAAGACATGGTGCATTCATGACCCGGGGAAGATGCAGCAAGGTTCAGACAGATACATTTAAAACTTAAGGAATTATTTTACAATATAGTCTGGGAGAGTTTTCCTTAAGGAAAGTAACTTGAGAGAATTATAATCAAAGATCACTTCAACACCTTAAAGTACATCCAGCATCAACAAGATTTGGCACATGAAAAATACAGAAAATAATTTTGAAACAGATAGAAACCCAATAATGACATTTTTAAAAGTCCACTTGCTTCCTCTGTATATTCACTTGACTCTCTATATCAGCATCTGAAATTAACATGACCAAAACAGAGCTCTTGACTGTTATCCTGAAATCTGTCTCTTCCCTTGCTTTCTTGGATGAATACATGGTGCCATCTGTCTTCTAGTTGCACAAAACAAAACCCAAGTAGCCTTTCTTGAGTGTCCTATGTTTCTTACCCATATCAGCTCTAGTTTCAAAATGTATTATGAATTTAAACATGTCTCACCAGTTTTTCTGCTACTGTCCATCCAGCACCCTTATCTCTCCCCTGAGTACCTGCAATAGCTGCTTAGGAAAATCTTTTTAAATTTAAACTTCACTGCTCCAATGGCTCCCTATTGCTCCTCAATTCATCTCTAACCATTCAGGCCCTGTTTCAGTGTACTCCACCTTGTGGCTTTGCTGTGGTTGATTGAACGGACAAGGCCCTTTCTGCCTTGGGGTTCTCTCCTTTCTTTCTTGACAGCCATGATTCTGCTCAGAAGTCACTATTCAGAGAAGTCTCCCCCAACCACCTTCACTAAATTGTTCCCACAGACATTTTCACATCATTCCATCTAATTGCTTCATTTGTTCGACAATACTTCTATTACTACCATGAATTTACTTTTGTCTTTAAAAAAATATTTCCTATCAGAAAGTAACTCCATGGGGGCAGACTTCTTGTCTTGTTCAGAGAAGTGATTCCAGTGCTTACCAGTAGAAACATATGAATAGAACGGATGACAGTAGAAATTAATAATTTTAAAAAGTCCAATTCTACATACGTGAATTCAACTTTTAAAGAAAAATGAATAATGAATACATTATGTAAAATTTCCTAGTTGGACAATTATAGCTATGATTTGTATGCAACTTTTATGATCAGTTTCATGTATTATTGGCTGATGCCTATAAGGGAGATATATTTCCATTTTTCAGGTCTGTAAATATTAGCTGAGAGTAGTAAAATTACTTTCTTAAGGAGAGATCCATGTTTACAGGCCAGGTCTGTTTGTTCTAGTTTTCATCTTCTTTCAGTAAAATGTACAGCTTTTCCTTCCACTAAACTGTTCCAAATAGAAAGCTATGTAATTAATTCCTACTTTTGATAACTAGTTAAAACACTTTTGAACATGGCATTATGCTGCATTTGGAAGATGCAATTAAAATATCTATTAGCTGCTAGAGGATTAGAATACAAGGGAAATCAAAATCATGTTGCTCTTATTATCAGGCCATAACCTTTCTTGATAGACTTCATTGAAAAGAAAAACATTTAAACTTGTATTAGACAATACCTTCTGATTATCCTTTACTTGAATTTTTTTCACCCTTCAAAAATGTGTCACAATTTAGAGGCACTAATAAAAGAAATATAACTATACATTAAGATATAGCTGAATCTTAATAAAACACATCAATTCAAACTCCTATTGAGTACTGTAAGAAGTCTGGACATTTATATGTATGAATAAATACATTGATATTTTGAGGACAAAATTCTGTAAGTCTCAAATATTTAATCAAGCATAGAACATATTCCTTTTTTTTCCTGAAATCAAGAAGATATTTTGAAAATGATAAAGTGTTTTCATACAAATAGAACTTTCAAATTTGGACTCAGTTCTATGGCTACAAAAGCTTAATAAAGATGAGTGCTGTGGAATATGGCTAAAATTGTATGAAGACAATTTCAATTATTCCTGTTTACTATTTATAACTTTCATGAAACATGTGTTTTGAGAAAAGGCCAAGCTTTAATTTATAAAGGGTCTCAGAAAGTCAAATAGCAAATTAGCAGTGTGGTTTTTTAACCATTATCAAACTTACATGTTTAGTAAGGACCCAAAGTTTAGTCAAGGTGGTTGGCAACTTACAATCTGTTGAGTTTGATTTTCAAATATGAAATTAAAGTCTTATGAAATGCAAATGAATTTTATAATGCTGATCACATTAATAAAAAGCTAAACGTTGCTCAAGCATTTAGTTTTTTTTTTTTTTTTTTTTTTTTTTTTTTGAGATCAAGTCTTGCTCTGTCACCGAGGCTGAGTAGTGCAGTGGCGCAATCTTGGCTCACTGCAACCTCCTCTTCCTGGGTTCAAGCAAGTCTCCTGCCTCAGCCTCCTGAGCAGCTGGAATTACAGGAACCTGCCACGATGCCTGACTACTTTTTGCATTTTTAGTAGAAATGGGGTTTCACCATGTTGCTTAGGCTGGTCTTGAACTCCCAACCTCATGCCTCAGCCTCCCAAAGGCATTTAGTTTTTAGACAGTATATTTATAACCTTTCTCTTATTTTGGCATTTGTGCTAGTTATGTATTTTACTTCTACGTATGTCTTAAACCTTCAATACATTTTAGTTATTTTTTCTTTATACAATAAATTGTCTTTTGAAGAGACTAAAAATGAGATAAAAGTCTTTTATAGTTGCTCATATATTTACCATTTCTAATGCTCTTCATGCCTTTATTTAGATTCAAATTTCCATCTGGTACTATATTTTTCTCTTCCTGAATGTCTTTACTGATATGCATTTTCTCAGCTTTTATATGTCTGAAAAAATATTTACAGAATTCTAGGGTGAAAAGCTTTTTTGTTGTTGTTGTTGTTTTTTTTTTTTTGTCTTTTTGCTTTCAGTACTAAAAATGTTGCTTTATTGTTTTTTGGCATGTGTTGTTCCTGATGAGACTTGCTGGAAGGAAGGTCATGCCATGACCTGCTTATGTAGCGCAGAAAGAAAGAGCTTATGGAATACCATGCTCTGTGCTCAAGGGAGGAATGCCTCTTGGAAGCACAAGAATGTGACCAGACTTGCTAGTTCCTATCTATGACCCCTCTAGCTTATTTAATGATTAAATCTAGAATAGAATTTGTTCTACATGTCTCAAAGGAAATGCCAAACTGCCCTAGCTATGTCCCCCCACACCCCTACCACATTCTTGCTTTGTGTCATACACCAATAAATGGTATGGGCCTCCAAGCTTGGGGTCTTCACAGCCTCCATACTCACATTGATCCTCTGGTCACCACTTTATGCACTCTTAACTTGCATTTTTTCATTTCTTTGTCTCCCCTGTTCCTTGCAACCCCCAGGGTCCATGTCAAGGCTGGTCCCCGACAGAGACTCTACTGTCAATTTTGTCGTTGTTCTTCTCTATTTATTGTTTCATTTTTTTCGACAGCTTTTTACAAGATTTTCTCTTTATCTCTGGTTTTCCATGATTTGATTATGATATGCTTTGGTTTGGTTTTCTTCCGGTTTCTTCCACTCGGGACTCATAAAGTTCCCTGAATCTATGGGTTTATAATTTTATACTCTTGGCATATCTTCCCTTTGCTTCCTTTTTTTCCCTCTTTTTCTTGCCTGATTGCTCTGCATAGGACTTTCAGTACCATATTCAATAGAAGTGATGAGAGTGGGCACCATCGCCTTGTTCCTAATCTTAGAGGAAAAGCTTTCAATTTTGTACTGTGGAGTAGAAAGTTAGTTGTGGAATTTTCATATATGAACTTTATTATTCAGTGGCAATTTTTTAAAATTTATATTTTATTGTGCATTTTTATTATGAAAGGGTGTTGAATTTTGTCAAATGTTTTTCTGCACCAATTGAGATAATCATGTGGCTATTGACCTTCATTCTGTTAATGTGGTATATTACATTGATTGATTTTCATACGTTGAACCATCCTGGCATTCCACAAATAAATGCCACTTAAAACACGATGTCTAATCCTCTTAATGTGTTACTGAATTTGATTTGCTAATATTTTGTTGAGGGTTTTTGCATCAGTATAAGAATATTGGTCTGCAGTATTCTTTTCTTGTAGTCTTTGTGTATGATTTTGGTATCTGTATAATTTTAGCCTCATAGAATATATTTGAAAGTGCTCTCTTTTATAAAGTTTGAGAAGTACTGGTGTTAATTCTTTTTTA